CGCAATTAAAAAAATTTAATCGATGGACAGCACTAATATATATATATATATATATATATATATATATATACACACACACTCCTGTGTTTAGGCACTTCCTTTGGCCAAAGAACACCTTTCCAGGACTTGAACAAAGAACATTTGCTTTCACTGCTCTTATCTTTGGGTTAAAATGATCCCATTTTTAAAGCAAACTCGTTGTATAACCTTTCTGTAGTGTCTGTACTGTAACCGACCCATTACCTCATTCACTGTCTTGCACACAGCTAAAATCAAATAAATTAGAAAAAAATATTCCTGTCAGAAAATAAATAGTTCTTATATATTAAAAAAATATATAATGCTGACTAATAGCTTCTCCATTATTAAAGTGGTACATTCTTTTTTTTAGGTTTGTGACACAATATTGAACCATGCAAAACACAGATTTGCCTTCACAAAGCCTCAGAAGGGCTAGATGTATGTACAAAAAGTAAACCTGTACATGAAATTAAGTTTTGTTTTATAAAGTGTTTTTGTAATATTTTTTTGTTGTCAGCGTTCAGTTGAGTATACTGGAGTGTTGGCCTAGAGCAGGGGTGGGCAATTCCAGTTCCTGAGGGCCAGTATCCTGAAAGTTTTACATCCATCCTTTATCAAACACACCTGAAGCAAATGGCTGAGTTACCTCCTTAGTATGCAGTCAGTTTCTCACAAGTCCTCTCAATCAACTAATTACTTAATTCAGGCGTAATGAACCAAAGGCACATCTAAAAGTTGAAGGATAGCGCCCCCCAGGAACTGGAATTGCCCACCCTTGGCCTAGAGGTTAGAGCAGTGCGTTTGTGCTCTGAGAAGATTGCAAGTACGCGGGTTGAATCCCACAGCTTCCACTCTGGGTTCCTGAGCAAAGACCTTTAACCCCACACTGCTCCCCGGGCATGCACAATGGCAGCCCACTGCTCCCCAAGGATATGGGTTAAATGGAGAGGTAGATTTCTCCAATGTGAGATCAATAAAGCTCAATTATTGGTATTATATATTTGATTGTTTTTTTGTGAACATCTATTTTACAAGAAAAACGAAGAAAACTCCACTAGCCACCACTGTAAACTAGTACTACTACTCCAACAAATTTAATTCACATTTCTCTTGTCATAATCTCATGGCTCAGCTTAAGTTTTCTCTGATGTTTTAAATATAATTTCAACAGCCTGAATCTAAACCTTTAGAGGCTGATCGTATTTGTGTTGTGTGGTGAATTCCTGAAGGTCTTCCTCATTAAGCCTCAGTTACAGCAGGGACTAATGTTCTCTATAAAGGTTGCAGTAAATTTAGTGCAGCATTGAAGTGATTTAAACAGGTTCCAGACATCCAGCTGTGTTAATAATGTGTTGTGCTGCAACAGCTCCTGCTGCTGCATGTCTGCCTGGATCACAAAGAACCAGCAGATTTGCCATAAATTAGCCTAATTACTGTTTCTAAGCCGTGAAGTGTTGATACATAAACTAAGAAGATGAGAACTGTCTAAGCATCTATGTGTCGATGTTTAACCCACCCACCTCCCCCAGTGGGGTCAAACTCTGTTAATGTCTTTAGCATTCAAAATGAGAATGAATGTCTTCTTCTACAGCCTCAGTGATATTTAACAGATCTTTCTCTCTGGGGTCAGCCGGTCTCCCGTTCATCAAGATTTTGAACTTCACAATTATTTTTACCAAAGGGAACCTCTTTCCCAGGAATAAACGATCTGGGAAAGGTAGATCGGAAAGTCCAGGAATTGGTTTGAAACCAGCGATTTTTTAATCTACTACTTTTTGGTCAAAATGATTCTGATGCTTTTTTTGTGTGTGTTTTCAAAAAACAAAAAAATCAAATGGCTGACTTTTATTGAATACATTTTGATTTTGAAATTGGATGAAATGAAGTGATTATTCTGTGACATAAAAATGAGCCCTAATTTGCATCTTATAACAACAAAATTTGGGTTGAAATAACAGTGGATTCTTTTCACTACATTATTTTTTTTGACATATTTTCAGAACTGGATATACCGTACGATAGCTAACCTGCATGTAGAAGGCGAAACTTATTCTGAAGGAACTGGTTCTTGAATGTAAACTAAAGTCGTAAACTAACCCGGTAGCATTAACTTTGTTGTATAACATTATTTAACATTTTAGTGTTACTTATTTAGCCTGTTCAATAGATATACTAGTTTAATGCAAAGTGCTGAAAGTACTTTGGAGTAGCTCCACTTACCTGAGAACTTCCTGTAGAGTTTAGATTGATTATTGCTTCGTTACATTATCTTATACTGTAGGTACAGACAATAGCATGGGTTTGATAGCACAAACATTGCATGAGGTCACATGCAGATTTTTAATGTATTGTACTTCTGAGTGTTCATAGTAATCAAATCCTTTTTGCCCTGTTTCCTGTTCAGGGGCTGCTGAATAAAACCTACTGCTACTGTAAACAAAAACCTGTGCAACATTGAGATTCATCATCTGAAAAACAAAAAACCTTAAAAGATGCCAGAGACACTGAATCTGAATTAGACCCAAGTTGCAAATCAAGGGTCATCAAATTTTCATTTGTTTTTCTTCACAGTGGGAATGTGCATGGTTCATCATCTTGAGCAGTTCTTTCCTCCTGCTTCTCCTGTGGGCCTATTTTTGGTTGGTTTCTCAGAATGATTTTAACGACTTCAACTGGTAAGTGTTTTTCTCCATGTTAAAATTAGCATTGAGCAGAGGTTTGCTTAGAACATCTGATAAAGTCAGAGAAGCCTTGATGAGTTCAGGATCAGAAAATCATGTCAGGGATAGAGAACATATGATAAATCTACAATTTCCTGATTTAAAGCCTTTACAGTATTTCACCATAAGATATAGTTTACTTTTCTCTAAATGTTGTTCCATAGATCATATGCCAATGACCTATTTTCCGATGGAGAACCAGTTTTAGTCCAGTGGTGTGTTCAGATGAAACTTGATGAGTTTTTTCTAACCAAAACCTTAAAAGCTGCTTTGAAAGATGAGGGGAGATTTGCTTTTTCCTGGTTATTATTCAAACAAGACAAGCCTGTTGCCTTCTGCTTGTCTCAACTCAAAGGGTAAAAGAATAAGCAGGAAAACCAGACATATTTTTCCCATTCAGGGGGAATCTCAAAGTATTCTCAACACAGAAGGGACTCTCCCCTCTTTAATAGTTTCTCCCAGTAAAGTGCCCTGGATATAAATATGGCAGGCCGTTTTATCATTTATTAGAAGCACTGTCTTCTCAGTTATTTGTTGATCATTAAAATAGGATTCTTCCTGGTTTAAAACTTAATTCCTACTAGTCAGAACTGTAAATATAGATTTCCTAAATTGCATTTTTTGTCAGCACAAACTACTTCAGGATGCAAAAAAAAAAAAAATATATATATATATAT